TTAACTTGCTTAGCTACTAACCAAAATGTTGGAGGTTGGACTTCACCCAGAGGCACCTAAGAAGAAAGGCCTGGGGACCTGCTTTAAAAAAAAAATCAGTCATTAGAAAGGATCTAAGATAGTGCACCAGGCAGATACACTATTCAGACCCTCTACAACAAAGACTCAAGAAATCAAGGGAAATGGATATAAATGACAATCCTGGGACTCAGAGCTTCAAAGGAATACAGAAATAGATCAAATACTGGTGAGAGGAAGAGACAGAATGAAAACAGAGAACAAGAAACCATACAGAAAAAAAAGGGGGGCCAGAAAGGGACCAGGTTTGCTGGTCTGATAGAGCCTGATGGAACCACTGAGAATATGGCCCCTAGCTGCCCTTTAGGTATGGAATTGAACCACACATGTGGCTTTCCAGCCAAACAAAAGACAGGCATATGAGGTGAACAGGCGTTCTGGTAGCATTGTGCCTAAGGCACTTAACTGCTAACCAGAAGGCTGGTGGTTCAAACCCACCAGCCACTCCTCAGAAGGAAGGTTGGGCAATCTACTTCTGTAGTGATACCACCTTGGAAACCCAAGGAGAGGTCACTATGAGATGGGTCTGACTTGACGGCACATGACAACAACACGAGGTGAACATTTACATTAGGTAGATATACTCCTTGGAAAGAGCAATCATGGGAGAGTAGAAGGGCTCTGTATGCATAGCGACATATCTCGGGGGCAGGAATACACAGAGGGAAGGACACAGGGAAGAGGTAACTATGGGGAGAAAGTGGGAGGGGAGCTATTGCATTGTGGTAAATTGTAGTCAATGTCATGAGACAAAGTGTATGTGAACTGCTGTATGGAAAGTGAATTTGCTCTGTAAACATTCACCCAAATCACACACACACACACACACACACACAAAGGAATAAGAGCAGTAAACTGCCAGTTGGCATGGCACAGCTATTTTGAATTATTGCAAACAGCATTCCATTTGCAGCAGGAGTCAGATAACCACCTCTGTTTGGCCATGACCACACCAGCACCTACACCAGAATTGGCGATCAGAGAGATGTGATCTGCCCCTTTACTTTGCACAACCTCTTGGTGACCGGATACAGTCCCCCACACACCTACCTGGCAGCTAGTCAAACCCCCTCCCACTGACAGTGCTGTGCCCCTCCCCCTTTTCCTTTTATCATCTTAGTTCTTCTCCCTTTTTCCCCATTTTTTACACTTTTCTTTTTCTTCTTCCTCTTTCTCTGCCTCCATTTTTTTTCTTAATCCTACAGACTAGAAATCCCAACCTCTACTCCCTCTGTGGTTAGCAGCATCTACCCATTTCCCTCCCTGCTTGGCATTGCACATTCCCGTGACATAAGCACTGCATTCCTGCCTCAACCATGTTTGGCAGTTAATGTTTTCACCAATATTGTGCTGCTTTTTTATCCCCCATCTTTTTTTTTACTTCTATTTTTTTTCTCTCCCTCCCCCTTGTTTTTCTTTTTTTTTCCTTCCTTTTCCCTTACCCTTTTTTAAATCTTGTGGAGTAGGTGCCTGTTCTGCCCTCTTCATTGTCATCAGTGCCCAACCTTGCCCCTCAGTGATTGGCAGTGAATATTCCTTCAGAGGTAGCTCCACATGCCTGCTAAAAAAGTGTTTGATAGCTACCGCTTATGCCAATGCTGTATCACTTGGTTTTTCCTTTTTCCTTTCTTCTTAGTTGTTCCCTCTCCCACCCCCTTTTTTTCCTTTCTCTTCCCCATTCCTTTTATTTATTTATGTTTGATACCACAGAGCAAGGTGCCCCACCCCCTACCACCTCTATGTTTGGTAGCACGCACTCCTTACTCTCCGCATTTGGCTGTACATACTCCCACAGAGTTGTGTTTGGTGGCTAACATTTGGGCCAACACAGTTCTGCCTTTTTTTCTCTCTTCCTTTTTTTTTTCCCTTTTCCTTTTTTCCCGCATGTTTCCTTTTTCTTTAATTCTTTCTTCTTAGTCTTCCCTTCCTATTCTATTCCCCTTTTTACTTCCTCTTCAGCCCCTTTTTTCTTTTCTGTTTTTTTTTTCCATTTTCCCCAGCATTAAGGATCTAGTGACCCTACCTAGCCAAGTACAATACCTGCTGCCCCTCCCACTGGGTGAGCATGACAAACCATCCTAGCACCACTGGATCAACAATAGACGGCAGCCAAAACAAACCCACCCTACCCTCAGCAGCTCTGCATGACCAGCAATGAAAAACTTGAGCCCATACTCCCACCCACCACCAAATCCACTCAGAGACAGGTGGTGAGCACTCCAGTGCTGCCAAACTAGTGACCAGAGTAACACACCTGACCTAATTCCCAGATATTTTAAAACAAAACAACAAAAAATCTGGGAGTAGCAAACCAACATACACTCAACAAATTAATACAATAACAGGATGATGTCTTGTATACAACAGACAACATCGACTCACAGAAAATAATAATAATAAACAGGAGAAGTTGACTGAAACAAGTGACCACAATACAGAGCTAGAAAATCTTCTGGAGGAAAAATTCTATTGTAAATACTTGATAATGAATTCAAATCAGTTATATTTAGTTACCATCAACAAGTTGAGAGAAAGATCAAAGACACCAGAGACTAAATTGAGAAAAACACAAATAAAACTCTAGAATAATCCAGGAAAACAACACAAGGACAAATAGAGAAAATATATGGAAAATTAGAAACCATACAGAAACATCAAGTAGAAATCCAGATTAATACTAAAATTACTGAAATAGACAATTCCCAGGAAGAAAAAGGAGTAAAATTGAATGAATGAAAGAGACTTATTGAAATTGAAGACAAATGTCTTAGTTCAAACCATTAGGTTAGCAATTCAATATTTTAACCACAGTGACACCAGAGCTCCTTAATCTGTTAGAACAATGAAAAAATGTAGAAAATTAAGAATCATATGAGACATCATCAAGAGGAATCACGTGTGTGTGGTCAGAATTCCAGAACAGGAAGAAAAAAAAAAAAAAAAGTACTAAGAAAATTGTTGAAGATTTATTAGAAGAAAACTTTCCTACTATCATCAAAGATGAGAAGA